AGAGAGAGAGAGAGAGAGAGAGAGAGAGAGAGAGAGAGAGATCCAAGTCCGAATACATCCGCATACACACATCCACTTCGAAAATGGCAAGTATCCTAAACATCTTAGGTCGAACGTAATATTGAGGAAAAAAAAATGTATACATAAAAGAAAATCAGGTGGTCGTAGTGCCTACGAAGACTAATATCAGTTCCATTTGAAACTAGAAACAAACGAGTCAATTGTGCGATTTCAATTAACAAAGTAAAGAATAACATTGTAATCATATTGTTGGTTTCTCCCTCTCCATTGCCCCCGTCCCGCCTCACCGATCATTTCACACTCCCCTCGTATTGACCACGTCATTTGCACCCTCACCCCCATAATCGAAATCATCGGTTAAGGTCTCTCAAGATTGCGAGGATGGAGGATTCCCTCCACATCCTCTCCCTTCCCACCATCCGCAACGGCCCCTCCCTGTGGTGTCAGATGTACTTGTGCATCACCTTTGCCTGTGTATAACTCCGGTTGCAACTGACTGTCGGGCACGCTGAGGCCAACACCTGACTCTGACTGCATTTCGGATGTGCCTTCTAATGCGGTGGATGTCAGTAATAAACTCCCGTACGTGGCACGACAATGCATTTGACACATCCATGCGTTTGGACGGTTCTGTCGTGTCGACGGAGATTTGCGGCATAGACGTCATGTGAACCTCTTGAGTCTTCACCACATTACTCCCATCATCCTCCCTCTGCCCTGCCTGCGTGGGTACGGGGGGCGATGCCGACAAAGGCACGACATCCTGAGAGCTGCTCTCCTCCATGGTTCCGATAGTTTGATTGACCTTCCAGTCGATTAACCCACATGAGGGACTCGTTTGCAGGGCGTAAAATTTCCAACTGTACTCCAACTGCTGATTGTCTCGCAATACAGAAAACAATTCTTTGGCCTTGTCTTTGACAGCGCCCTCGCACTTCCCCGGATTCTCCTTTTGCACGCGGTACATAATCGCGAGTTCTGTCGTTTTCAGCCATGTGTCCTTTAACATCATGCGAAACGTCTGCCATCCGCGTGTGTATTTGACCGCCATCTTCCACTCCCCATCTTGGATGCAGGGCTAAAAAATGCCCTCATGCCACACGATGTCATGGCCCCACTTGTCCTCACCAGTGCGGGCGTGTTTGCCCCCCAAGAAAAAAATTGTGGTCGGATCAGCACAATAGCCGGGAGGAATTGGATCGCCTGGTGCGAGCTTCGACGCCTCGCCTGGCATATCAATCTCATCTTCATCATTGGGACCACATATTCCCAGGTTTGGCAAACCGGTGCCCTCCATGGGGGCCACCATCGAGCCAACACTGGGGGCGGCCACCTGTACGGGTCTTTCATGCGAGCGAACGGTCCCTTCATCGTGTGACCGCACCATTCCACCGCCCGGACCTTCACCACCCTTACCATCGCCCAATTCGAGGTTGGACCCCGAAGAGTCTTCCTCGCTGTCGACGCGGTTAAAACCATCACCCGATTTCGCGAGGTCAGCGTAGTCCTCGGACATCAGCTGGTCTTTATGAAGATCGAACTTCAGGATCTCGCATCGAGCGACAAAAGTCTCAAAGGCGCCAGTAAGAGCACCGTGATAATGTTTCAGGGTCTCTGTCATCTTTGCTTTCCTATAGATGTAATTTTCGTCAAGCCGTCCTTGCGGCGCATCGCGGAACAGGTATTCCCACACCTTTAGTCTCTTGCGTCCCAACTTGTGGAACATGTCCCTGTTGCTACGATGTTTGCAACGTGGCTTCTCGACATGACAAGCGAATCTCTCATCCTTCACAAGTATATCGACGAACTTTGTCAGATATGCAATGTCCTTGGCCGACTCGTCGCAGGCAAGGACATTATTACCTGCCAGTAATGACTCCCACACAAGACCTGCGTGTGCTCTACCCAACAAAAGCACACCTTCCGCCTCTCCGACAAATGACCCGCACAATGAACGTAACTTTCCAGGCTCTCGCTCCCTGATGGAATACACCGCACTATCATCGCCCTCTATCCCACCGTGTTTACCTTGACACTTCCCGAACTTCTCCTCCACAACGTGCACGGTTGTGAGGTCATTGTGGAGTCGGGGTTTGACAGTTACTTTTTCCAGATCCCCTTCGTCGGCGTGCAGGACAATGGCCATCATATCTCGACTCGTCGTAGCCATATTGCCGTATCGTGTGATGTCGTTCGGTGGCCTGTCCACCCGTTTCCAGGTCCTGGGGATGACTTCGACATCCTCCCAGCGGAACAAGTGACGCAGAACATCGCTTTGCACCTTCTGCGGCGCAAAGAAGAAAAAGACCCAATTCTGGCCACAACACTTGATCATCAATGTGTGCAAGGCATCAAATTCGTGAGAGGTCCACGCCGTGCTGAAGTTCGAGGATGGGATGTCCATGATGGCGGCCCTGCATGTCATTTTTTGCACTGCAGCGATGATGTCGTCTGACGCTGCCAACACTTCCTTCGATGGCATGCACACAGGTAGCAACGTCGTTTGTTTGCCAATCTTGTCCCACACAATATGACGCGCGCTGGAGGCGATCCGTTTCACCTCGGCGCGAAGCAAATCGAGCTTATCGATTGCAGTGTATATGAAGACCTTAAGGTGAAACGGAGCCTCCTTATACATTGCCGCCGTAGGCCCCAAGCCCGCGCCTTGCCTTGCCTCCTCCACTCCTCCAAGTCGCCGAGGGACCATCTTCACCTTATTGACATGTAACTTGTCCCGTTCCTTCTCCCATTCAGCAGCGCACAGACCGTTTGGCCCATACCTATCTTCAAGGTCCTTGTACGACATGAAGAACGCGCCGTTCCATTCGTCGTCCGCCCTTCCCTCGGCGCAGAACAGAACAAAATTGAACATACGCACCATGTACCGCTTCTTTCGCATGATGTCGAGGAGGCACTCTGTGTTCACTCTTGGAGGCAAGACCTTGACGTTCATTGCGACCACCTTCCCCTTCATGAGCAGGAGCAACGCAACTTCCCTCTCACGACATGTCAAATCCCCAAAATTTTTGAAGTAGGAAGGACAAAGGTCCTTCGACGACACGGTGGAGCCTTTGGGACCATCTATTGCATATATGCAATGGTACATTGTTCTTTGTCCCTTGGTCTCGTCGGTGTACGGGCCTGGCAGGCGGCCTTCCATTCTCCCGGGCATGTCAAGCGGGATTTTGCCATCGCCAACTGGCAGCTTTCCTTCGTTAAACATCTCGAAGAACCTCTCGACCAGCGGCCACACTGCGACACTGGATGTGGCGAGGTTCATATAGCCCCGGAGTTTATTACTCCAATCCTTACTGTACTCATTCTCGAGAGCTTGCTTTACAAACGCCTTGTCGCATGCCTTCCCCATGCTGACCCTCAAGAAGTTCTGCCATGTCTTCTGATGTGCAACGGCCACCTCATCCTTCTCGCTGACCTTGGCTTTCGGGGCCTCGATTCTATTGTTGTCTATCCACCATTGCCTGATGTCACAGACAACGTCCTCGAATGACAACATCATGGAGCGATTTTCGCGTGTGTTGTCGAAGCAGGAGACATTGAAATACCCTCGTGTTTGATCATCTCCGAAATAGACGACCCGCACCTTAGAGTACGCGTTGAGGCCATAAACTTTCACTGTCGGGGAGCCCTTTCTGACCAATCTCTTCATGGCCTCAACGGTATGCTGACCACAGACAGCGTACCAGTCGAACTCTTCCGGGTCCCTTTCCAAGAATTCAGTCGGCGTGATACGTCTTCCCTGGCCGCCGACAATGTCATTGCGGTCAACTGGCGCAAGCACGAGCTCGGGCCTATCCCACGCCCCCGGGTCCGTGCTGATGGAGCTT